AGGCGCCTGCCCCAGGCCTGCCCCGCTGTGCACCGCCGCAGCTCTGCCCCACGCACCCTGAGTGTGTGCGCTGCACGCTGGGCGTTGGGAGCAAACGGTGAACTGGCAGTGAACCGGGCTGGAGGCTGTCCTGTCTTGAGCCTGGTATGAAATCCAACTTTAGTGTCTGCTTTTGTTTTTTTCCTTTATTATTTTTCCCCAGGATAGAAAGATCAACAGACCAAGTTATCAAGCCAGTGAACATGGAGGCGTTATCCAAGTGGATCGGGCACATCCCGGGGGATGTGCTGCAGGACATGGCCCGCATCGCACCGATGCTCGCCAGGCTCGGCTACGACCCCTACGCCAACCCACCCAACTACGGCCACCCCGACCCCTTAGTTGTCAACAACACGCACAGAGTGAGTGCCGCTGGCGTGGGGCTGCGGGTCTCTGCACCCTCGGAGCCCTCCCGAGCAGAGGCGGCTGCTGAGCCGAGTCGAAGAGCAGGGGAGAAACAAACGCTCTCTTCCTTTTGGGAGACTGGGAACGACAGACACGCAGTTACCCAGAGATAATTTCAAAACAGATATGTGTGGTAGATTGTCTGGCGTGGCTCAGACTGATGACGTTCCCTATGATTTTGTGGTGGTGTTCATTTCTTCTGTTGTGGCGGATACTGACGTGTCCCTCCCTGATCCAGCCCTGCGCTCGAACCCAGGCGTGGGAGTTGCTGGTGCGTGTTACGCTATCTGGGTGCACAGCTGCAGGCACTGGACACGCCGGTCTGGCCCCAGGAGGACACGCAGACTGTGCTGTGTCCGTGTGTGGCTCACGGCCTCTCCCGCGGTCCCACGAGGAATGCGAGTGGAGGCTTGTAATGCATTTGGCAAGACTAGAACATTTATTTTTTTTAGAATATTGACTCATGTCCCTGGAGCAGAACTGGAAGGAAGAAACTGCAGAGCCGCAGACAGCAGTTACTAAACAGAGGCAGTTTCTCATGGTTTGGGTTCCTCCCCAGCCTGAGGCTGGACTCTGCAGCCCCCCCAGCTTTGCCTGTGCTCCCCACGAGGGTGCCCTTGGACAAGGTGTCCTTTGTCACGCTGGTGGGAGCAGGGGAGGGCCTGCAGGGCGGGGGGATCCCCGTGGTTCTGTGTGCAGGCAAGTCAGGAGAGCTTCCCTGGAGCTGGTCTGTGCTCTGAGTGCTCTGGTCTCGTACAGCTCCTCCTCGCTCGCTCTGCTTGCTGAGAGCTGTTCTGGGACACTGGTGGTTTGGGTGAACATCTGCCCTGGGCAGGGTTAGGGACTCTTGCAGCCCAGAAAGCCAACCGTGTCCTGGGCTGCATCCCCAGCAGCGTGAGCAGCAGGTTGAGGGAGGGGATTCTGCCCCTCTGCTCCACTCTGGGGAGACCCCCCTGCAGTGCTGCGTCCAGCTTGGGGGTCCCCAGCACAAGAAGGACATGGAGCTGTTGGAGCAAGTCCAGAGGAGGCCACGGAGATGATCCGAGGGCTGGAGCACCTCTGCTGTGGAGACCTCAGGCTGAGAGAGTTGGGCTTGTTCAGCCTGGAGAAGAGAAGGCTCCAGGGAAACCTTAGAGCCCCTTCCAGTCCCTGCAGGGGCTCCAGGAAAGCTGGAGAGGGGCTGGTGACAAGGGCAGGGAGTGACAGGCCAAGGGGAATGGCCTGAAGCTGCAGGAGGGGAGATGGAGATGGGATGGGAGGCAGCAATCCTTCCCTGTGAGGGTGCTGAGGCCCTGGCACAGGGTGCCCAGAGAAGCTGTGGCTGCCCCTGGCTCCCTGGCAGTGTTCAAGGCCAGGTTGGATGGGGCTTTGGGCAACCTGGGCTATTTTCCCTGCGCAGGGCAGGGGTGGCACTGGATGGGCTGGGAGGTCCCTGCCCACCCAAACCAGGCTGGGATTCTGGCTACAACTCTTTGGGTCTCTGACACACCTTTCAGTACTTCTTGGGGTGAAAGTGGAGAACTGGCATGATGGTAAAGACCAAAATACTCTCCCCTCCCAGGCCCAGGGGGAACCAGAGCATTGCTTGTGTCGGTTCCCCGCCCCAGCAGGATGCTGCTCCCTGTCTTTGCTTAATCAAGAAGGAGGAAACCTCCCGCTTTTGCCCCAGTATAGCACAATGATGTAGAACAAATGCCCATCAGGGTATTTCAGCTGGTTCAGGTATACTGGGACACAGGACGCAGTTAATGAGGCGCTGATGCTCATAGAGCGACTACCCCAGAAGGGTCACTCCGATTTTCTTTTTTCCACAGGTTTTAAAGGGGGATTATAAAACGCCAGCCAATTTGAAAGGTCATCTGCAGGTAAGAGTCGGGTGTCCCTTTGAGGGCTTCACCCTGTTTGGTTAATCTGGGTGTCTGGTCCCTTGCTCCCTCTTACGGGCATTTGCAGGCTGGGCTGAGCTGCGGGAAGCCTCCTGGCCCTCTCGCCTCCATCCTTCCTGCTGTGTGCCGCTTCCACCTCCGCGCGTTTGCTGTTGATGTCCTGCGTATTCCGTGCTCCTCAGACCCTGCTCTGTCACCTGCCACCCCCTTTCCTGTCTGCTTGTGTGTGTGGAGCTCTGCGTTCACTCATCAGAAGCTTGTGCTCTTCATTCCCTTACTTTAAGACACTTTCCAGCTTGCTCCCTGTTCAAAAACTCTTCAGTTTTCGTTGCCGTGGGTCTTGCCTGCCTTAGGGAAGGATGGCTTATCTGATTTACAGGTTACAGTAAGCCTTCTAGTTCTTATGCTTGGGCGATTGTGTTCAGCACCTATGGGGCTCCCTCCCTAAAGAGCCGTGCTTGGGAAGGGTTAATAACCATCGTGTGTGATGCAGAGCAGCACAACAGCCGTTGCACACACAGACTTAAAACAACACCGAAGACTTCCTGACCCTCCCGAAAGCGCTCCATGCGCAGCGTGGGGATGCAGTAGGTGGGTTTGTGCTGAGTGAACGGCAGTGAAGCGAGAGACCGGTCTCATGGCAGCATCTCCTGGCTGCTGGTTCTCTGCCCTTGTGCCGCTTTCTGTGTCCTAAACATTTCCTTTTCTTGCTTCTGGGAACACAGCGGGAATGTTTTGAGTTGCAGGTGGTGGCTTAAAGCTGACCCCTCTGTTTCCGGGTTATCCTAGGTGACTCAGAACACATCATCTTCTCACTAAGAAAATTAATGATTTCCAGGTAAGACCTTGTACTTCATTTTGGGACTCGGGCACATCTGCCTGCATTGCTCCGGGGTAGCATTTTGCTTGTGTAATTTCTTGCGCCCGTGGATTAGCCAGGCTGCTCCAGGCACGCTTGTTATGCAAAGGATCCTTTATGCTTTAGGTTTTCAGAACAATACCCTTATGTGAGACGATTTGTCAGAAGTTCTTTTTCTGAGCTCTGGAAACGGGCTGACTTCAGCAAAATTGGAATCAGCTGCTTGGGAGAGTTATTACTGACTGTCCCTGTGGGGAACATTGAAACAGGATGTGGAAATGTGTAGATGAGCGGAACTGCTCCCCAGCTGTCTTTAGGACGTGCCGTGGACTTGCGGAAGGGAGGATAAAGCAGTCGCATCTGCTGTCAGTCTGGAAAAAAAAAAAGCTGCTACCCCGGGTTTCTGTTCCAGATACAACTGTTGATGTGCTGGATGTTTTTCAGCTAGCCTCTGCACTAAAATGTCACTTTTCTTACTAAAAATGGCCCTTTAAAAAAATAGTTTGTATATAAAAGCAGTGTGTTTTGTTACAAAAATATAATGATAGAGTGACTGTGCCCGTATGCTGGAGCTGGGACTTGGTCTCCTCCTCCTGACAGTTTTGTGTGGCGGCTGCTTTAGACCCGCTGTCGGCCGGGTGCTGTGCCGGCGGCCGGCTCGGCTCCCCAGCCCTGTGTTTCTCTCTTCCAGAGCGCTGCAAATGGCCTTTTGTTGTCCAACAAAGAAGAGTTTGCAATGGCACCAGTGGAAATCGGGTTATCCAAGCATATTGCTTGCTAATTCTATTGCCAAAATGACTGCTGTACGAGGAATGTATTTGCATTTATTTGCAAAGGCCGAACACTTTACACGTCGAGACCCGCCGTCTGCCTTTTCCGAGCGCTCCGTGGTGAAAACATCTGTGGAAACCGTCCCCGAGGGGCCGTGGGCGCCCACAGGCCCCAGACGGCGTGGGCCGCGGCCCGGTCGAATCGCGGTTG